TAACTAATCAGTGAATCGCAAACTTTGCATAAATTATTTTGAATATTTAAAGTACTTATAAAAGGAAAATGTAAATTTTTTTATAATCTTTTAAATTTTTATTTTTAAAAATAAAAATAATTACAAATAAAATGTGTTATTAAACAAAAATATAATCTTCTTCACAACTTTCATATGTATATAGTTTTATTTGAAGTGTAAATACATTAAATGTACATACATATTTCCAAATTTAATTTTCTTTGCAGAGATTATTCGTCTAATACATCCTTAAATCATATGATTCATTTTTTACGACTTAAGAATGTATTAGACTCTACTGTATAACATAAGACGTCATAAGGCATAAGATCTTACTCACATCGGGCGGCTAGGTGTGCTGCGTGTTCGCAGCAGTTTCCGTTTCTTGTCGTGCAGATCACCGATCGGCACTGCCAGGCATCTCTTCTCACGATCAGTCAACGGTGCCTCCGGTACTATCCTCTCGGTATCCTGTTGAATTAGCACAGGTTCGATGGCCAGCGTCGGTATCGTAATGACAGTATCAATGTCAGTCCTGCTGTCCTGTTCCTCTATGTGCTCATTGTTGTTTCCATGAGTGACGTTAACGACGAGACCGAAACGAGGAAGTTGAACGTTATTAATGATTCGTTTTTCCTCCTTCGTCGGCTCCTCGTCGAACGAGTCCCTTTGAAAGGAAACTACTCAGCGATTTAGTCTATCGTCTTACGAGTTGAAATTTTTAGCGAATAATCGAGTTTTTTAAGGTTGGGATGAGGAAGAATGTTTGATATATGAATGCTATTCGGTTTACCATGAAAGTAAATCGATGATGGATATCGTGTTGCTTAGTCTCTAGACAATGACCGCGTTACTCGGTACATAGGACTCGACTTACATGATATTTGTAAAAAGCCTAAATTTGATCGTATCCGACAGACTTATTAATCCGAGCTAACAATCATGATATATGATATCTCCATGATGCATTGCATAAATTGCATGATCCGTACTGGGTGATCCATTATTAATAAAATCGACAGTCTGTTTTATATATAAAAATAAATAGAAAATGTGGAATAAAATTGTTCTCACATCTATTTTTTTAATAAAATTGATTTTAAAAATTACAAATTTAATATATATAAAGAGTTATATGTATTTTATATATATATTTTTGTTTTATTTTAATTTTTTATGTAATACGCAAGTTATATAAACTATTTTTATATATTTTCTTTTCTCTTCTTTTTTGTCATACAGTAATAAATGTGATATTTTTAAAAGATTTAATTAATTAAATCTTTTAAAAATATCACATTTATTACTGTATGACAAAAAAGAAATAAGAAGTTAAAAGAATATTTACATAAAATAAAGCAAACTAATAAAATAAAGAATTAAGCGATTTTAATAATCACAAAATTAAGAATTTTGCTGATTGCAAAGTGAATGCAAGTGTTATATAGATCGACCAGAATTATTCCGACTATGCGGTTCGCGTGTCTCGTGTCTCTCTTAATTAGTCAGTTCAATTATAGTTCTACGCCTCTTCGCCTCACTCGTTACCGCACGCGTATACGTTATCGAACGTTATCTAGCCGCGTGATCGCGCGACTAATTTACGCGACAAGCGTAATATAAAAATAAAAATTATTTTATTCGCAATTAACAGTGGTATACAGAAGAAAGTATTTCTAAGAATAGGCCATTATTACTTGAGGCCATTGTTATATTTATTTACTGAACAATTTCAATTTGAGATCGATGAAAATAAATCTAATTAAATAAAAGAAATCCTATTTTTCGGTCGAAGCAGATCTTAGCTAAATATTTCTGCGTGAATTTATATACAGCCGAAAATTTTTTGATCTTGAAACACAATCACGAATCGAATCAGAATAATAATATCACATATCAAATTGACAAATAATTTAATAGTTTTTTTATACTAACAAGCATATGATAAAAATATAAGAATATTAATAATCGAATGTTAATGAGAATCTTAAACCTGAATAATTTTTTATGGAACTTGTATAATTTTTACATATAAAATATTTTTATTTGTATAAAAATAAAATAGAAACATTTTACCTGATTTGATAGGCTTCCTCGTTGTCATGGGGTTGGGATTGATGGATGTCTTGATGATAGGCGTAGTGGGTAATTTGCTGCGCAATTCATTGATAAGCTTATCATCGCCCGGCGAATTCTCGACGTCGCTATCGCTGTCAGCCGAACTAACCAGCGACACCATCGTAACCACGTCGCTCGTTTTAGGATCCATGAAAGCCTTCCCTCGTCCACCGCGATCCTCATCCTTTCCCGAACCTGACGAGGCAAGAAAACGCCTCTTCGCGCTTCTCGATCGCCTCTTCAGAGGCGCCGATCTTATCGACCGCTCCCCTTGTGATACCTAAGAAGTTTATACTGATTCCTATCTTTGTTCTTATCCGATTGGGTTTTTGAAATTTTTATATCGATCATTTATTTAATTATTTTATTATCGAGAGATCTTTGATTTATGATGCGAAGTGTGCGAATCTGATACTGTTTTCTGGAATCTGAGAGACCCGGGGTTTCACACGAGATTCTTAGAATCTCGGAAAATTACTTACCTTTATTGCACAGTCCTCATATTTTTCCACAGTGTCTTTTCCATCCTGCATTTTTTCACAAACGATTGACTTATCTGTGGCTTCATCGGCGAGACTTGGTGCGTCGATCACAATGTTCACTTGCACACGCGCTGCGGATGCGAGATTTCGTCTCTGCGGTGGTGCGGAATTCGTCCTTTTTGCTTTTTCCAGGCTCATCGTGGACGAGCTTCTTGTGAGAATGACATTCTTGTCAATCGACGATCTCATCATAGTCTTATCGGCCGAAGCGCATCTGATCTCGATCGATTTTGTTGATGCAAGCTTACTCTTCGCTTCCGGCCCTTTCGGAGACTTCTCCACCATCGGCTCGAGAAAGGCGCGATTGGTACCGCTGTGAAAACTTGCGCGTTTTTGCTTCGCCAACGAGAAATCGCTGCTGATCTTTGCCAGATCATTCACATTTTCCGTTTTTAATAATGAAAAAGCGTTCAATGGTTGCGACTGATCGCTCGTTGGAAGATGAAGATTCATACAATCAATATTTATACGTGTCTTCTTTGTCTTCTCCTCTTCAATGTCCACATTATCGAGTAAATCCGGTTTCTAAGAAAAATTAGTAATCCGTTTATGACAGATTATGGCTGCGATCAACAGAAAAAATAGTTTTGCAACTCTTATAAGATTCTTTATATGACTGATTTATATTTTTAGATTCTGTAAGAAACTAAGGATAAGATCAAATTAAAGAATTTTTCAAGAGTTGCAAAACTACTTTTTTTGTTGAACCAATGATGTTGAAAAATATCATTTTAAATAATGTATAATTATTTATTAACATAAGAAAAAATTATTCGTCTACATAAAAAAATTATTTATTTTTGAAAAAAAATGTACTAAATTTAAAAATTTTTTTTTCAATAGATTAAATATTTATTTATAATAAATACGTTTTTTCAATAAAAAAATGATCGTTAAATAAATGGTTTTCATACCAAATGTGAATATATATATTTCTACATTTTAGATAAATATCTATCAGCTATTTGTCAAATAAATATTTATTCAAATTAAATACACATTTTCTCTTAGTGCATAAATGTATACCTCATTATCTTTTCCTTGCTTTTCCACGTTTTCTGTTGTTTTCTCATCTCCTTTCGTTAACAAATCTTTTTTAATCAATCGAGACGCAGACTCCAGCTTCGTTTCGCATAATCCTTCATCTCCCTTATCATAATCTTCATGCGTTTTCTTCCCTCGATCTCTCAAGTTGCTCGGTGCTGCCAGATTCTGCTGACTCTTTCCTTCATCTGTACTGTTAGGCTCCTTTGTGGAAAGAGGGGACGACGGAATGGACATCGATAGTTGGGAATCGCAACGTTCCTCCACTGCCATGCCATGTGCCAGGAAAATATCAATGTTTGCTTTGTTCTGTTCCCGATGCTTCCACGCGAGTCGCAATCTCTCGGCAAGCTCCTGCCGCGAGTAAAGAATCGACGCCTTCTCCGTAGTGGCATAATTTCTTCCAGATCGACCTGTAGTCGGTCTAGATCGACTCGGGATCTGCCGAGCCACCACCTCCACCTGGGCCAGATTGTTGCAGCCGTGACGATCATCGCCCCAAGCAACTCGTACCTGCCAATTGTATGATATAACATGATTGTATAAAAGAACGATTTTGCTGAAGCATCTAAAAATTTAGCTAGATACATATAATTTTGTATTTTTTGACTGAAAATAATTTTGTTGGTTCATCAAAATAATTATGTAAGACACTTAAATTGTTTGTTAGAACGTCAAAACTTTTCAACATTATTATGGTTAAATTCCTCTAGATAATTAATTTGAAGAGTCAATAAAATTATATTTAGATGTGTATCTACATAGTTAAATTTTTAAGTACTTGAGTAAAATCGTTCTTTCTGTGTATTTATTAAGATTGTGAAAGAGACATTAAAAATCAATACTAAAAAATCAATACATAATGTAAATCCTTGATTGAATAAAAAGGTCTATATATCTGGAAAAAAGATGAAAGAAACAATGACTAAGAAGCAAGTTTTCTCAATTGCACCTTGGGCTTCTCCGTCGCATTCGCCCCTAATCTTCCACGCGCGATCGGATTTGCGTAGATCTGCAAAGATTTGCTGCAATCATCCTCCGCCGATCTCTGTCGTCTGATGTGCTGTCGACGCGGCACAGGCTGCTGTAACGACAGTTGCCTGACGGGTCGCATCGCTTTTCTACCGCTAGACATCCCCGGATAATTGTCTTTGCATTGTCGATGCGTCTTCTCGACGATTTCCAGAATTCTTCTGGTAGAGCTTATTTATTCATTCGTTCATTGACGAGGCAGCCCCTTGACAATAACACAGGTCGAGTTAAGGAAAAGGATCTTTTTTATGAATAATATTTAAGTTTCTTCAGTTCTCGAGCAAAGAGTCCATCGAAGAATGTTGTCGACGCCACGATCGGGCGCCGACTGACTGACTATCCTCATCCATTGCCCTCCACTAACCTTCGGTGTATACCAAGTCCAAGCCCGATTCACCAACACGATTATCGGATATAGGTGTATTGACTCTTTCCTTCTCGCTTTCTCTTTCCTTCCCTTCGTGTTCCTTGAACAAAAGCCAACACACGAGCACTATAGTTGTACTGGTACCATTAACCTCCGTTATTACGATCACTGTCAGCGCTACCAGGGTAGTCGAACTCCTCTCTCACTTCGTATACGTGCCCTCGAGGCCACAGTGATGTAACATCGCGATTATTATATATACGTGATATTTCCTCCTAATTTATACGTTTGAAATATTTTTGTTTTGTTTTCGGAAATTAGTTATTTTGAAGAAACAGCTATCATGTGAAGAAACAAAATTTTTTGTTATATTTATTATAAATTTAAATTAATTTTCTGGACGAATTTCTCATTATTAGTATTGAGGTAATTCTATTATTTTAAAAAGTGTGAATAACTTTTAAATTTTTTTAATTTAGAAAGAGAAGACCTTTTTTAAGAAGAAAAAGAAAGTTCTCTGCGTTGATGTAACATTTGTTCTTTCGAATAATTACTTTCTTATATATTTGTGCATTGTAATATTGAAATAGAAATAGAAAATAGAGGAACTATTCGGAGAATTGATCTAATTACCTTCTTGCTATTTCGCCAATTGAATATTTTGACAATTGAAACAGAAAGATCTTCCTTTCTACAATTTTTTCTATATATTTTCAAATCGTTGTTTTTTAATGATTTTGAGAAAATAGCTAAAAATCTATTTATTATCATTTAATATTAGTTTTTTTTAAATGTAGGAGATCTTTTCAGTTGCTATAATTATTAAATAATATTTTTTGCTTAAAAATGTTCAGGAATCTTTTCTGTAATTTCTTTTTCGAAAGAGACAAAAATTCTTTTATTAATAACAAATTTTAATCTTTGTTTTATTGCGCCATTTCTTTTTTTATTTCAAACAGTAAAATATTCGTACGAATATTTAATAGGTCAGACTCTTTCAAGAAATAGTCATATTGAAATGTCGGTATCGCAATCAGTATAGTCAGTGCCACTCCTAAGTCCTAAGCCGACTAGCGGCTCGAGTCTCGAGTTTGTAATTCAGGGACGAGAATTAGCATCTCTCGATCGAAAATCGCATCGCTCAAATTCATCCTCCGTGACTCAGCCTGGTACACATCGCTCGCCGCTTCGTCACATGTCGGAACCACCCTCTCTTAATCCTTTCGCCACCCTCTGTCCTTACTACAACTCGGCAGCCACGTGCTGTTGTTTGGACTGTTTGGAGTCAAAATCACTGTTTGCGCGACTCCGTATATCGAACTCGAGAACTGCCGGCAGGCAACCAGTCACTGCCGGTATTATTGATCAAAACTTTGCCCATCATCTGACAGCTTGTTGTCCGCAGTTGCCATGGCAAGTCCAACGGCTCGATCATTCCAATTCCTGGCGCGGATCGACTTCTTTTCTCGCTCGTTTACTCCTGCGACCGCCTTATTTGTCTTCCCCTCTTTCTCCTCTTTTCCTCTTCCTCTGAATAAGATTCTTCATATTTGCTTGGCCTTGTTCCGTTGACGAAGAGAACAAATTTCGAACTTGTTTCCTCTCGCCTAAGATATCTTGTCTCTTCGATTTCAATTTTTGCAAATATACGCTGATCTTCCGTTGTCTTTACATTTCATTGCTGCATTCTTCTTTCTCTTCTTTTCATTCATTTTAATTTCAAAATTTTCTCTTATTTTGATTCTCTTTTTTTTACACCTATTAATAATCGTAATAAATACTTTTATTTCTATAACTCTCATTATTTTTTCGTGTTATCTAAAAAATAAATTATAATCCATCAAATATATAGGAACAATGAAAATTAAAATATTTAGGGGAAATTTCGAAAAATTGACGTATCGATCTTGGCGTATCGATTTGATCGGTTAAATCCTTTCGAGAAGTGGGTTACAATTTCGCTTGCCGGCGATGGCGCAGAAATTACAGCTGAAAACTTTTGGTAAATCGACGATTAGAGCTTGGCGTTGCCTTAATTGACGTCCTTATCAGCAAACTTTGGCAACCTCGAGCATTGCCAAGAAATTTTCGATTTGCCCCGTTTCTACCTATTATTCAAGATTGATAGCAGACAGGAGAGGGAGGGTTAGAAGGTCTGATTACACTCCCAGTTGATCGATCTCCATTTGAAACTGTTGCGAAAATACGCTATTAGCGAATAATTTAAGTTATCAGTGTATTTTATATCTCCCGTACCTTTCTACTAATTAATTTCAATAAATTGTAAATCTATTGTATACAATGTCTTTGTAATTTAAGCATATAATTGTTTATTTAACTAGCAATAATTTTTCAATTGTTTCCGGAATAAACTTTCTTTTCATAAATCGATCTATTGAATTATATTAAAAATTAAATATTTGATTTTTTGTGAACTAATTAAAAATAATATATTTCAATCTGTAAGATTAGAAGAGAATTATTGATATAAAATATTATAAATTTCTGAGTACTTTTGCATGCTAATTTCTAGGGCAGAAAAAAAATAAGCTCTATATATATATATATATATATATAGAGAGAGAGAGAGAGAGAGAGAGAGAGAGAGAGAGGGCTTATCTTATATACTTATATATATATATTGTTATATTCTAGATATGGACTGGAATGCATCATCTGATCTTTCTGATTTCTTCTTCGAGCCACTCGATCTCGACAGCAAAGTGTCCAAATTGCAAATATCCTTTGACAAAGAATGAGATATGACTATATATATATATATAAGAAATTGAAAATTGAATCTGAACAACTGTCTCAGATTTGAAAATATATGAAAGGATGTTAATAAATTTGTATGATTTTAAGAAACGAATATGATGATAAAGATTTTTGCATAATAAGATTTATTCTGACTACCAACTATTAAACATATAAGAAATGAAAATATATAATATGTATCTTTTTATTTAAAGAATTCAATAATATCATTGATAAAAAAGAATTCTTTCAGCATCATATTTGCTTTTCAAAATGATAGCGTACAATCGGTATTTTTATGTTTTTACAATTGTTTTTTGAACGATATTTCAAATTTATCAAATTGATCAATCCTTAATTAACATTTTCTTCGATCGTTACGCTTTACTGGAAGATGAAAATCTCACTCTCGATACGGAATACTTGTTGCAAACGCTGGAGCAATGTTTTTCTATGTGTCCAATTGAGTTACTTGACGAGAAAATTTTTAGAAAAGTTTTGTCGGAAGCTCAGTACTTTCTGTTACAGGTATTTTATAAAATTCTATAAAAATTTTAAAAATTTTATAAATTTTACCTTTAAAAATTTCTAATATAAATATAATATATTTTATCTGAATGTAAGAAAGTTTTAAAACTTTATTTTTAATATTTATTTCTTTATAATCAATTATTTTTCTTCTTCTTTTAAATAATTTTTTGAAAAATTTCCAAAGTTTTCTTTCGACATCTCTAATTTAAAATTATTGTAATTATTCTTCTGCTATTTAAGTTACTCTATTAGGAAGTCCTATCTACTCAAAAATTATTAGATTTTTTTATGTCTTATATCATACCCGAAATGTAAATTGTATTCGTAGCTCAACTAGATACAATATTTATTACTTAACGTTGAAATATTCTCATTTTTTTTTTGCGATGGTTCAAAGGTCATAAAAGCCATAGACATAATAATAGACGATAACACGGGACTCAATGATTTGGACAGCATCAAGTGCAAATTGCAAATTTGTGATGGGCTTCTCTCTTTTTGGAAGAAATGCGTGGAACGCGTTTCTACCCTCGAAAAAGTTCAAGTTGCCTACGTAGCATCGTTATGCAATATTCTACCAGAAACGACAAGAACGATTTTTGAGCATTGCAAAGCCAGGTATTTGCCAGATATCGATACATTTTATGAATAATAAAAAAAATAACGTGCTTATTCTAAACTTCTCTCACAGAGAAACATAATTGAATTGAATTCCTATTACGAATTCCTATTATAAATTGATTAAATGTCTAGTCGAGTAAACGTTTGTTAAACAAATGAAAATCAATAATTGATTGAATTGACTTTTTTATTATGCTTTTTATTTTCTATCATTTTATTTCATTCTTATATTTTTGTTTAATTAAAATTTTTTTTATTATAGCCGGTTATTATTGTTTTT